TAAGGAAAAACAAGCAGGGATCTAGGCATGGTGGCAAACTCCTGTAATCCCAGTCCCAGTGACTGGAGAGGCTGAAACAGGAGGATCATAAGTGTCAGGGCCTCTGCAGCTTAATTGTAAAACAGGATGTAAACCGGGGCTCACTGGCAAAATGCCCTTGGGTTCAAACTCAAAAAAAAAAAAAAAAAAAAAAAAGGGGAGGCCTGGTGAAAGACAGGAATATTACATCTGCATCTGTCTCCTTTTTTCTTTTTCTTTTTTAATTTTTTTTTCTATTTTTGAACTACAGTTGAACCTAGGAGCATTCTACCACTGAGCCACATTTCCAGCCCTTTGTGGGTTTCTTATTTTGTTTTGTTTTGTTTTTTTAATTGTAGAGGTACACAATACCTTTATTTTTATGTGGTGCTGAGGATTGAACCCAATGCCTCCCATATGCTAGGCAAGCTCCCTACCACTGAGCTATATCCCCAACTGCTTTTTTCTTTTTCTTTTTTTATTTGAATCAGGGTGCCTCCCTCTCTTTCTCTTTCTCTCTCTCTCTACTAAGGGGGGTCACCTTTGAGACAGTGTCTTTTTTGTTTTTTTTTCCCAACCCAGGCAGCACTTACTAAGCTACATCCCCAGCCCTTTTGATTTTTTTTTTTATTTTATTTACTTATTTTTATGTGGTGCTAAGGATCAAACCAAGGGCCTCACACGTGCTAGGTGAGCGCTCTACTACTAAGCCACAACCCCAGCACCTTTATTTTTTATTTTGAGGCAGGGTCTCACGAAATTGCTGAAGCTGGCTTCAAACCTATGATCCTCCTTCTTCACCCTCCCCAAGTAGCTGGAATTACAGGCCAGCAACACAGCAACCAGCTACACTATTGTTTTTTTCACCTGGGAAATGAGATTTGATATGAAAAACTGAAACGAGAAAATTAATTTTTTTATTTGTTCATTAATTTCCTTCCCCCCACTCTTTTTTCAGTGGTGCTGGGAATTGAATTCAGGACTTTGCACATGCTAGGCAAGCATTCTAGCTGTGGTACACCCCCAGTGCCCATAGTATTTGGGGGGAGGTGACGTGAGGTTTCTTATTCTTATTATTGCTTGGTTCTGGAGACGGAACCCAGAAGAGGACTCATTTTGATGGTCAGGAGGTAATGCCCCCTTCTTAGTGCCAATAAAACTTGGTCCATCTGGTCTTTGCTCTAGTTTCAATTTACTTAGACCAAGCAGGGCACTACTTTTTCTTTCTGAAAGTCTGTGTTTGTCCTGCCCTCTAGTGGTGTTGGCTTGAACTACAGTAGTGACCTTGAGTGTACCTAACTTCTTGAAGTTGTTTCCCTGCCTAGAACTGAAATGTCCTTGCAATGCCTGGCCTTGGTTCTCCTGAGATTTCTGAGCTTCCTTGACCTGAGCCCTAGAGAAGGGAATTGTTTTTCTTCTTTTTGAAGCTCTGGAGATTGAACCCAGGACTTCTTGCATGACAGCTAGAATAAGTGCTATACCACAGTGCTATATCTCCAGGCCCAAGATAAGTGTTTTTTTGTGTTTTGTTTTTGGTACCAGGGATTTAACCCAGGGGTGCTTAAGCACTAAGCCACATCCCCAGCCCTTTTTGTATTTTATTTAGAGACAGAGTCTCACTAAGTTGCTTAGGGGGCCTTGCTAAATTGCTGAGGCTGGCTTTGAAATCACGATCCTCCTGCCTCAGCCTCCAAGCCACTGTGATTACAGGCATGTGCCACTGTATCCAACAAGAAGTGGTTTTTAATAGATTGTACTTTTTTATTTTAATTCATTTTTTTATTGATAGAGCTTACTTTTTAATTTAGTAGACTGGAAAGGGTGAGACCTAGGAATCTGAATTTTAACAAGCACCCAGGTAGCAGCAATCTTCAAGGCATATCTTGAAAAATAATGCTCTAGGGCGAGGGCTATAGTGCATGCCTAGGATATATGTACAAGACCCTGAGTTTGATTCCTAGCACTAATAATATTAATAAGGGATATAGTTCAGTGGTTTTATTCCCAGCACTACAAAATAATAAGAATTAGTAATAATAATGATAATAGTTTTACTCCCAAATTTACCTCTCCCTCACCCCACAAAGTCTCTCCCTGAATCTCAACTTAAGCACCTTTGGGCTTTAGAGAATCTGGGACCAAATTAGTCAATCCCCTTTGCCAACCTCAATATTGAGTTTCCAGGAGGTCATATCTTGGATAGCTAGGGAGGGAAGCTGCAGCTGTCCTGGAAGTCCGCCCAAGCTGAGTGAGGTCAGCTCTCACTGATCTGGCAGGGAGAAAAGTAAAGGAAGTTAACATTTAATGTACCAGCTGTGGGCCAGTGGGCCAGGTACTGTCCTGTTTTCAAACAATATATTTAAATCCTTACAAACAAACATGAATTTATTATTCACCCCATTTTGTAGTTGAGGAAAGTATCTTCTATAAGCTTACAGCTAGAATTTGAACCCAAGTTTTCCTAACTCAGTAGTTCTCAACAGTAATATTTTGGTCCCCAGGACATCTGGTAAAATCCAGAGACACTTTTGATTGTCATAATTGGGGGGGTTGCTACTGGCATCTGAGGTAGAGGTCAGGGATGGAACTAATCATCCTACAATGCACAGGGCAGCCCCTCCCCCAACAATAAATTATCTGTCTCAAAATGTCAAGAATGTTTAGGTTGAGAATCTAAACTCAAAGCCTGCTTTGGGTGAAAGGTTAGGGAGCAAAACAAAATGGAAAAGGGTACCCCCAGGACCTTGTGGAGAAAGAGGATGAGATTTCTATGCTAAGGATAATGGAGAATGGGGCAGCTAATGAGACTTCTCTTTCTTCCAAGCTTGGCCAGGGCCCTGCTCAATTTCTCCCAACCTTGCCAAGTCAGTCCTGGGACTTCACATTAAGCTTGTCCTGGAGTGACCCTGACTCCCAGCTTAGGGTTGGGGCAAAATACATACACATTTTTGTTTGTTTGTTTGTTTTGTTCCAAGGTTTAACCCAGGGGTGCTTAATCACTGAACTGCATTCCCTTTTAAATTTTTATTTTGAGACAGTGTCTTGCCAAGTTGCTTAGGGCCTTGCTAAGTTTCTGAAAATGGCTCTGAACTTGCAATCCTCCTGCTTCAACCTTCAAACTGCTGGGATTACAGGCATATGTCAGCATTCTCAGCCAGCAGGGTGAAATATTTACCTAGGTCTTTCTGCAGGACTTCCCAGCCAAAGCCCTGGCTTCTCAGACCAGTAAGTTCAAACTGCCGTCCCAGGACAGCTCCACATTCTGGGAGGGTGGATGGGGGCAGGGTACCACTTAAAGAAAATGATGAACCAGCCAGCCCAGGGGCCAGCTGGCACCCGAGGATAATTAGAAGTGAGTATATGGCAAAGCCAGGAAGATCCCCTCAGCAGGCTCCTGACTGCTGAGGAATAGAGCAACCTGAGCAGGGAGTAGAGGGCAGCTGGCATGGGAAACTGGGTTCTGACCCTAAGGTTTGCTTTCCGCAGTGAAGCTTAGATTGCAGCTTCACTGTACTGTCCCCAGTACCCTCCTCAAGGGCCCACACACCCAGCTGTCCACCATTCCGGGCTTCCCCAATAGTGGCCTCCTCAGTAGACTGGAGAGGGCGGGTCTGAGCTGACTATGCTGACAGGAAATACCTCTAGCTCCAAACTCACAATCTCTAAGGAGCTGGGTTGGAGTGACAATCTTGCAGTGATGGGAAAGAGCAAGATTCATACTATTGGCCCCCATATTTTGGGTTCCACTTCCTAATTTCCCCTCCTCTGGAGGAGTAGTGCTGGACAATAGGATGGAGGAGGGCATGCAAGGAGGAGGATGTGGTAACAGCTGATTCGTCCCCTAAGGTCACACTTTCCAACAATCAGCTGTTACTGGGGCGGAAGGCAGGATGTCTCCTTAAAGGCATAATGTTCTGAACACAGAATTCTGGAGCTCCAAGGAACCATGGCAATCACCTGATGAAGTCTGTATTAACACAGAAGAAGCTATCTTATGCTCCAACTTTATCTGTTACCGGTACCCTCAATTTGGATCTTTTAAGTGATGGATTCTTACGGACACTTTCCCTTTTGGTGAGGGTGATGGGGTGAGCAAGTGATGGGATGGAGCGGGTCGCAAGCTTGTCCCTTTAAATAAGCAATTCAGCAGCTTTTGCCAAGTCATTGGGTTCATTTCAGTTTGTGCCCATCCCCCGCCCTGTAGACTCTGATTGGTCTCTGGGGAAGGAGCAGCCTCTTCATTGGTCTCCACCTTTGAAATCGCTTCCCTAAGAGGCCGGAGTCTATGGAGAGCTTTGGAGGGCGGGACAGAATGGAGGTTAATCAAAGAGTGGGACTTCTGGTCACTTGCACTTTGGCACCGCCCATCCCCTAATTTCTGAAGCCTTTCCTCTAAACTGAGGACTGTGCTCTCTTCCTTTTATTAGGAAGCTGTCCCTTGAGAGGCTCTAGAACTCTTCTGTGACAGGAACAAGAATAAAGCTGAGCTGATTAGAAAGGGTTCCCCAGGAGGAGTCGACTAGCTCTCTCCAGTGAAAGCTGGGGCTGGACAAGGTGGGCTACCCTCTCTCCCCCAAAAGCCCTCAAGAAGTATCCCAACGGAATAGTCTGCTGCCTCAGGGGCTGATTTCCAGCTTCATTTTTGCCCACTCCTGCTGCATCGCCTATTTCACCTTTCTTTAGAGAGTTATAGCTTCCGGCGGAGGCCAGCGAATCCGATTTGGGTTTGTCTAAAAGAAGCACTCACGGCTCCAGAAAGATGGGGCTGTAGCCCTTTAAGGATTTCCCCGGGATGGATTCTGAGATCTGTTTAAAAATGCCAACTCACAGAGCCCGCTGCATTCTGGGAACGAGAGTGTCAGGCCGAAAACTACACTAACCAGTATGCCCTGCAAACACACACGCCTTTACTTCCTTCTTCTCTTCAGACTCCGGTTTGACGTAGCTCTCTTTTAAGCCAGTCGTTTGGGTGGAGGGGTAGGCCACGCCTTTTCATCTATTGGTCAGTTTGTGAGCTTGTGGGCGTGGCTTAACGCAACACTGCTAGGCAAAGGGGTGGCCTTCTTGCCAATCAGAACCGAGACGCCTGGAGGGGGTGGGACCAGGGAAGAAGTGAGGGCGCCCCCGAGTGGGTGTGGTCACGTTGCCCAGCAGTGGGCGGTGATTGGCCCTGGGCGGTGCAATCGCAACTTGTGCGTCACGACGCTGCCAGCTGATCGGAGACTGGAGCCGGTGTGTGCTGGGCGCTGGGAAGAGACAGCGCCGCCGGCCGTGGGGAGCGGACCGCAGTGATTTGCTCCCTAACTCTCAGCAACCCCCACACCCAGCACCAGGTGGGTGTGATCTGGGGACCCGGTTACACTGGGGGGGAGTAGTGGTAACGGGGTAATGGGGTAAAGTGGGGTCCTGGCGGCCACACCCTGCCCTTCCGGGGGAGGAAAGAGGGGGTGGCGGGGGCGGCGGCGCTCGAGGGGAGATGGACCTGAACTGGGTGGAATAGTGTGTCATGAGGTTTAAAGAAAGAGTCCGAGACAAGAGCCATGGCGGAAGGTCTGGGGGAGTAGCTGCGGGCAAGATGAGGGGCTAGAGGGCCGGGGTCGACTAACCCAGGCGCCCTCTGATCTGAGGATCCGGAGTCGACCGTCTAGTATGGGGAGTATCTGGACAAGCGAGTAGCGGGGAGGTGCTTTGCTTCTACCGGCGTTCACTGGGTCAGGGCCAGTTCAGTTCCCTGGCAGGGAAGGGGTCGCTGGGCGGGCCGGTCCCTCCTCTCATTCCCTCCGGGGGATGTTATGTAAGGGGGGAGGGGAGAAGAGTAGGGGGCGGCGACGGTGCGGGGGCCTTATGCAACCCAAAGGTTAGGGTTTCACGCGGTTGGGCGGAGGGTGGGAGGGAGACGGGCAGGAGGAGGGCCTGGAAACTCTAACCCCCCCAGCCCCAACTGCCTGTCTTGGGCGGAGAGAAGGTCACCTTTGCACCTCCCCCCTGGCTGTCCGGGTATGAGGCCCCTAGCCCAGGCCTGGCCCTGACCGCCTGGGAAGCCGGCTGGCTGGGTGGGGCGCCTGGGTTAGTCATCACTGGGCTCCCTCTCTCTCCCCACCTCTCGGCCAACTCTTGGCCTCTCCCCATGGCCTCTGAGTAGGCTATCGCCCCCACCTCCCTCTGGCCTTAGTTCCAGCCTCCAACTCATTTGGCCTGTCATCCTGGCTGTCAGACTGGGCTAGAAGCTGTCTGAGTGCCAGAGGGTTGATGGAGCAGCTGGTCAGAGGGTCAGTGCCCTGGGCCCACCCCTCCCTGAAGCCAAGGGCACCTGCTTGGCACAGACTCTCAGCAGCTCTGAATTCTGTGGGCAGAACAGAGCCATCTCATACAGAGGAGTTGGACAGAGTTGGATGGTCACCTAAGAGAAGGAAGATACCATAAAGTTCATGCCTCTCAAGAGGTTTTTGGAATTTGAAAACCCCCCACCCCTACCCTAATCTTTCCACTCTCTTAGTATAGAAATCCCAAAGCAAAATCGCCTTGGCCTCTCAGTCTGGCATGGGCCATGCCCTTGGACAGAGTGTCACTGCAGACCCGCCCTCCCCAGCTCACTGTTCTCAACCTGCCACGCCCCCAGCCCCCTCCCTGGGCCATGCTGCAGGGCCCGGCTTTTCCTGCTGATTCATGCGTTGGAACTGTGGGGGCGGGGCTTGGAACTTGGAACAAAGTTCAGACATGGAGGGGCCGGCAGACAGCCTGGAATTCATACCAGATGTACCCGGAATGTGCAAGCGGAATGCCTGGCATCTGAGAGTCCTGAGGAAGCTGCCCAGCCACCCTGCCCATACCTCCCTCCCCTCCAGGCTTAGGTCCACTGTCCTCTCCCTTACAGTCTGGGAGCCTCTGCTGACATTCTTCCAAACACTAGATCTCTTCCCTTCCTCACTCTTCCCCAGTCTAGGCCCCCCAAACTCTCTTCCAGCTGAATTCTCTAGGAACAAGTCAGTTGGGTTGATCACTGAACTCACATTTCTGGACCTGAGGTACAACTTCTCATCTGGTATCTGAGTGACTAGTGGGGTGTGTCCTGGGTCCTAGACCCTGCCCTCTCTGAATGCTGGAGAGGCTGAAGTGCCTAGTGGATTGCTAAGAGTTTCTGTAGCTCTGGTCTGTAAAGAGGAGCAAAGGAAGTCTCTTTGTAGCTGTTTGTCACTGAAGTTTAGAGCTCCTTCAGTCCCAGGTCCCAGCCATGAACCCCCTCATTAGAAGGCTGAAGGTCTGCTGGAGCTGGGTTTTGATGGCCAGTGGGATGGTGTCCCTGTGACACAGCCCTGCTTAGTGCCTTCCCATTTTTCTTCCCTTTCCTTATAGGAGCTTGTGCCTCCGCCATCCTCACCTGGCTGAGCCGCAGTAGTTCTTCAGTGGCAAGCTTTATGTCCTGACCCAGCTAAAGCTGCCAGTTGAAGAACTGTTGCCCTCTGCCCCTGGCTTCAAGGAGGAAGAGGAGAAGGATCTGCTTTCTCTATCATCTGGAAGGTGACAGAACTGGGGCTGGGAAGATCTTAACTGCAGGGGTGATAATAGCTTTGGGGAGGAAAGAAAACCCTACTCAGAGAACCTTCACCCAGATTGTCCCAGCAAAGGAGCAGCTTTAGATAGAGATGCTGGCTGAATTGGGGAATAGGTGGCTCAAACTCTCCAAGGTTAGTTGGTCTTTGTGTGGCAATGGGAAGAAATGGAGAGAAGGAAACTCTGTACACCTGGACCCAGATTTCCTCCTTTCACCTACTTTCCTTATCTCCCAATCTTCCTACTTGGCCTTTCCAAAAGTGAGTTTACTCTTTAGGGAAAGGTGATAGTAAAACTCTGACCTCTATAAGTCATCCCTCTGCTCTTTTCCCTGTGTTTTCTTAGACTGGCCTAGATTCTAGATTTAGGGACACCTAAATCTTTGGGACACCTGTTTCTCCACCTGGAGATGGGGAATCCCACAGATGAGTACGTAGGAGGGCATTAGAAACCCACCTGTGCTGACTCAGCCTGGGCTCTCCTTCCCCTGTGGGTGGAAACAAAACAGCTTTTCACATAAATTCTCCCTCCCCCATCTCTGATTACAATCCCAGGTGTTGGGGGGTGGGGAGGTAGAGCTACTTAGTAAGAGCTCAGTCTTTATATTGACTTCCCACCATGCAAGCATGACCTAAGGCTTCCCCTGCCACCCAATAGCCAATGGGGTTCTACTGCTGCTTCTCTTACTTTGCTTTCCAGGGTAGTGACTGACACTAAGCTTGGGCTTGTACAACCGGGGAAGATGGGTTGTGGGATGTGACCCCCTTTTGGATGTCAGACATTGTAAACCCACCACCTCTAGCTCCTCGTTCATTCTCACTTGTGGGCTTGGGCTGGGGCTCTGGTGTGATTCAGCCTTGGATCAGTCTCCCTGACAGAACTACCCAAGTTCTGGGATTACAGGAAGCTGTTTGATCTGTTTGGTGAGAGGAGATGTGCAGGGGGGCTTGATCCTATTCTCCATTTATGAGAAACTGAAAGTCATAGGGGAGAGAAGATCATTGAACCCAGCTCCTCTGTAGCCTTAACTGAGGGGCAGGATGTGTGTAGGACTATGGTAGAGGAGGGTGGGTAGACTGAGTCTACTCAGAGGCTGCAACAAAGATTGCTCTGTCCCTGGACATTGCTTCCACCCTTTCTTTACCCCTCCTCACTTCACTGGCCACGGTGTGTCCATCCAGCTCTGAGCATATAGCTCTGCCATGTTCAGCCATCACAGAGCAGAGGTGAGGAAGGGCAGCCTGAAAATACAGAGGCAGGCAGAAGACCAGTGAATGACCAGACCTGGAGAGCACAGGGCTGGATCTGGGCAGCCAGCAGTGGGGCCCATCAAGGACTGGAGTTCCCCAGGAGGAGGGAGAACAGCCAGCCTCCACCAAGGACAAGCTTCCAGCCATCTCCTACTTCACTCACCATTGTTCTTCAGTCCTTCTGCCTCTCTTGGAGATGTGAAACCATGGTGAAGTGTCCCATGGCTTCACCTGCCTTCTTCCAGCTCTTTCCCAGCCTGTGATTTTTATATAAGCAGCCTCAAGGAGCATGAGGCAGCTGTGAGAGGACATACTCAGGAAATTCATAAAAGGAATTCAAATGTATAAGATCATGAAAAAATGATTTTATAATAATGATTAAGGAAGGAAAAAAAATCACTGAAAGCATTTTTCCCTTAGCATAATAAATAAGATGCAATATTGGCCAAAGAACTCTTATACATTACATGTGGGAGTATAAATTGGTACAGCCTTTCTGGATGGAAGTTTGATAATATGTATTAAACAACCTAAAAAGTTTCGTGTCTTTTAAACCAGTGTTTCGACATTTGGGACTCTCTTAAGAAAATAATTAAAGATTTAGTTATAAAATGTTCGTTCATTCCAGGCCTAAAGAAAAATGGAAAGCAACTGTTTGGGAATTCATTCCTTTTCTGCTGTAATGAAAATTTGCAATAGGGGATTTCTTAAGTAAATTATTGTATATCTGTCCAGATGGTGGAGTACTGTGCAGCCATTAAAAGTCATGTACAAGAACATTTTGACTGGAAAGAAAAATGCTCTTTGAATATTAAAGAGGTTACAAAAATAGTGTATGTGACAGTTTCATTTTAAAACCAATTTTGTTTTTAAAATATGGTTGTAGGGGTGGGGATGTAGCTCAGTGATAGAACATTTGTCTAGTGTGCACAAGGCTCTGGATTTGATGCCCAATACCACACACACCCACCTACACACAATTTTGTTGTAATGGGTGTATGCTTGTGTATATAGAAAACAGACTGAAGATATACTCAGATGTTAATAATGGTTAACTTGAATGGTAGAATAAATGTAATTTTCATCTTTGGTTTTTCTGTAATTTCCAAATTTTCAATATTGTATATTGCTTCCGTATAATAAAAAAAATGTAAAAAAATCACTGATTTTTTTAAACCTTTGGATAAGATGGTGTAGAAGAAGGAGGAGATGTTCCCAGGTGAAAATATTTGGATGGGGCACCTACTGGTTTATGAACTTCATTCTTTTTTGTGGGGAGTAACTGGGGATCAAACCCAGGGTCTCCTGCAACCCTGTGAACTTAACTTTTCAGGACTGGCCCTCAGCATACAGAAAGCAGCTTTGTGACTTGCTGGCTCTCAGCCAGCTAAAAAGGTGTGGAGAGGAGTAGGAAGGAAAAATAGCAAAACAAACAAAAAAACTGTTGCTCTCCAAGAGCTGAGGGATTGGGAAGGGTTTTCTTCTTAAGACTTCTGGACTGGGCATGTAGCTCAGTCTTATAGCCCCCTTGCCTGTTGCTTGTGAGGCTCTGGGTTCAATTCCCAGAGGGTTCTAGGATCCTAACAATCCTGCTGCTGAAAACACCACTTTTTATTTTGATTCTGCCCCAACCTGACATGAACCTGTTACCTTCCCTTGTCCTCTGATTGGAAGAGATTCTCCTGCCTATCCAAAAGATACCAAGCCCTGAGAAAGGAAG